GATTACGACATGCATGCAGTGGTTTCGGTTGTACTACTTTACGACTTTAACTGTATGTGGAAACAACACATATATTATTTGAATTTATAACTAGTGCTCACAATAAAAGATGTTGTATTCAAGTTACAGTTGAATATTTCTTTGGCGTAGCTTACAATTTACAAGTGATTATTTGAACTTGATTCACGTAGCTTTGAGTTTGGGTGTGTATCCTCTAAATTGGAGACAATTTACTTTCCCTTTACATTCGGAAGAGCTGAAAGCCCTTATCTGGATCATGAAAAAAAAACTTTACAAATGGGATTAGTTTTTGTCAAAAATATTGGGATGGGCTCCTCGAATTTGATCAAGAATTTTCAGGCACCGAGCTATCGAGTTCCCAACCCTTCTCTAACATATTGGACGAATTATGCTTGCTTCGGAATAGGTTTGCAATTTTCTTTGTGTTTGATTCCACGTACGTAGTTTGAACTTTCAGGCCGATTGCATAGCTTGTAAATCTAGAGAATAGGGTTTGATTCAATTTAAATTTGAAGTTGAGAAGAAAAAAAAAATGTGTCTTTCGTTCCAGTTTACTACTTTAACTGCATATGTTTGGTACGTACTGAAAAGAAAATTATAGTTGTGTTTCATTTATAACGTAGTTTATACATGTTTATAACTTATAAGCTTTTGTAAGAGCATATAAGACCGTAACATTTTATCTTACACAAGCTTCAACTTATAGTATACTTTGAATACATTGCAGATCCAAACACTTAGTAGTATCTAGCTAAAAATTCTAAACCTTATTTTAATGTGAATATCGTTATAGCACATATATATGTCACACATTCTTATAACTTACTTTGACACGTAAATCGAGTTTCTAGCCTGCTTAATAACGAAATTCCTTTATAAGCACCCCTCCATAGCGCAGGAACGCCTCGTCGCAGGTAATGGCTCGTTCTTTCGGCGTCTTAAACCAGTCAGCTTGGTCAATAAAAGGACGTGCACAACTAAAGTATTGAATTTGATCTGTGGGATGATAAACAACTGGTTTTGTTATAGTTGATGCACTTGAATATTGATAAGTGACTCGACGAGCAGTAATAGTACTAGTTGCCTCTTTTACGGTATAAAATCCTGGACCACCATATTTAAGCATTTTGGTTAAAACGAGAAGGGAAATCGTCTCTAGGAACATGTGATTTAGGGTTTATGGGACTTACCATACACCTTATCGGCCTTTTGAGCGATTCTTGTATTCTGATCATTTTGAGCCATTGAAGACCAAAGAAGAGAAAGAAAATGTGTTTTTAGTTTTGTGTCCTCTCTTTGTTTCTATGTGTTTCGTTTGATAAAGAAAGCCAATGGCCCCCTTTATATAGCACCAAAGGTTTTGACAAAAAAAAAAAAATAGTACCAAAGGAACCAACGTACTCTTTCAGTCTTTTGGTTGATTTTCTGTTGGCATATCTTTTAGGAGTTATTGCCTTGACTTTGCATACATGATATGAACACTCGCTTTTTTTAGATAATCCTCTTTTTATTTATATCATTAATTTTATTGAAACTGAAATCAGACATTACAAAGGGGGCCATAAAAATACTGTTTCAACAAAGGAAGACAAGACAGAATACTAAGATCTTAAATGAACTTTGAACTCCAGTATATAGGATTGAAACATGTGCGACGGGTGTAGACTCAAAATTCTGAAATTTAGAACCAATTTGTGAAAAGTGAATCTTTAGGTGCGCGAGACAGTGGTGACCCCAGCTTGCTTGTCATAATACGACGACTTTGATGATACTTCTCTAGTTTTCATGATATGTTTGTGCTCGATCGTTCCATTTTTTTTAAGAAGACGCTAGGAGTTGAGCATGCCCCATCAGCTTCTGATGTTTGATGTTTATAGACAAATATTAAATATAATTGGGAAAATTTCAGATTTAACTTCTTCTAAAAAATCAAACACCAAAATAACATTTTTTTTCTCTTTAACTTTTGTCATTTTGTCACAATTCTATCATTCTCTCTCTATCTATTAACGAAAATGTCATTATATATCCATTATTTTGATTTTAAAAATATTACACAAAGACTCCTTGGACCTCCTAAACCCCTCTTTATTATGAAAATGTCATCTTCTTCAATACTTCCAACCATCATGAATAACCAGATTCAAACTTTAAATGCTTCTCAACCAATTATAAAACTCTAATAACTAAATATCAGAGCTCATATACTCATAATCTTTCTTATTCTTTTCTAATTTCATCTCCAAAACTTCTGGATTGATTTATAATGTCATAACTAATGCATTTTTGGTGATTCTTGCATAACCATAACTTGGGTTGTTTCTTTTCGGTGAAATTCAGAGTACTGTGTGCAAGAGAGACCTAAAAACGAACTCAAAATCAATATAGGTAATGATACACTTCAATTTTAGTAATATCTATATCTGTATTGCGAAAGAAGACTTCAACTTGAAGTCTACTAGTCAACATAAAGTTAATTTTGCAATTAACTTTTTTAAAAATTTGTAAAAATTTGTAACCAGTAGATTTCAGTAGACTTCGTGGACTACTTGTTACCATTTGAAAAAAAAAAGCCTAGTAGATATATAAGCAACAAAAATCGAAAGAAAAGAAAATCAACTAGATGTTGTGAAAACTTAAAAACTTTATTAATCACTGGAATGTATATATAAAGTACATAGGGAATCTAGGTTAAGTACAATGCCCTGATGGGCCTAATGGGCCGGTATAAGAGTCCATATATGATATGTGTTATAACACTCCCCCTTGGACGAGTGAACCGGGTCAGCTATTCAATCGGGATCTCGATAATGCGCTGGGGAATGTTGCCTCATTAAAACCTTACCAGGAAAAACCCAGTGGGACAAAACCATGGTGAAGGAAAAAGAGTACAACACGCATTACTCCCCCTAATTGTAGCATCACTGCAGATCTCTAAGTCTATACATTCCTATCTGTTTGACGAGCTTCCAGTGTGTTGAAGTAGGCAATGATTTGGTGAAGAGGTCAGCTGAATTCTCACTGGATCAGACCTGCTGAACGCTGAGAGTGCCGTCCTTCTGCCAGTCTGAGGTTGAGAAGAACTTCGGTAGAATGTGCTTCGTCCGATCTCCTTTGATATATCCTTCCTTGAGCTGAGCTATGCATGCCGCGTTGTCTTCATACATCACCGTGGGCTGTGTGTCTTCGTCCATACCACAATCTCTGCGGATGTGCTGAGTCATGGAGCGCAGCCAGACGCATTCCCTACTAGCCTCATGAATGGCTAGGATTTCAGCATGGTTTGATGAAGTGGCAGTGAGTGTCTGCTTCATTGATCTCCAAGAGATTGCTGTTCCTCCATGCGTAAAAACGTAGCCAGTTTGAAACTTGGCAGTGTGCGGATCTGATAGATATCCTGCATCGGCGAAGCCGACTAACCCATCTTTATTTTGGTTAGTATAGAAGAGTCCTAAGTCTTGAGTACCTCGAAGGTATCTTAGGAGATGTTTTATACCGTTCCAGTGCCTCTGAGTTGGAGATGAACTATATCGAGCGAGGAGGTTCACGGCGAAACATATGTCTGGTCTAGTGTGACTAGCCAGGTACATTAACGCTCCTACAGCACTGAGGTATGGCTTTTCAGGACCAAGGATTTCTTCATCATCCTTTTTGGGACCAAGAGGGTCATCACTTAAGCTTCTAACTACCATTGGGCTGGTCAATGGGTGAGCTTGGTCCATATTAAATCGCTTGAGTACCTTTTCGATATAAGCCGATTGATGCACAAGGATTCCTCCTTTGATGTACTCAAGTTGTAATCCCAAACAGTACTTTGTTTTGCCTAGGTCTTTCATTTCGAATTCTGCTTTTAAGCAGTCGACTGTTTGGGAGATCTCACCAGATGTTCCGAGGATGTTTAGATCATCCACGTATACTGCTATGATTACAAATCCTTTGTTTGAGTACTTCTTGATGAAGATGCATGGACTGATGGGGTCATTTTTGTAGCCTTCTTTGATGAGGTAATCGCTGAGGCGGTTGTACCACATACGCCCACTTTGTTTCAGTCCATACAAGGATTTGTTCAGCCTGATGCAGTATTGATCTCGAGATGCATTTTTGTCTTTTAGTTCAATGCCATCTGGGAGTCTCATATATATTTCGTTGTCCAGGGGCCCATAGAGATATGCGGTTACAACATCCATTAACCGCAGATCAAGATTTTCTCTTATGGCCAGACTTATGAGGAATCGGAATGTTGTTGCATCCACCACTGGAGAATAAATCTCCTCATAATCGATTCCGGGTCTCTGTGAGAATCCTTGTGCTACAAGCCGTGCTTTGTATCGAACGACTTCACCGAGTTCGTTCCTTTTGCGCACAAAGACCCATTTGTGGCCCACTGGCTTGATGTGTGATGGGGTCCGGGATGATCGGACCGAACACGTTTCTGAGTTTGAGACTCTTTAACTCCACGTTTATGGCTTCTTTCCATTTTAGCCAATCTGTTCGATGTGTACACTGTGTTATTGACGTGGGTTCTAGATCCTCTTGCGTGAGCGCAACATCAAGTGCTACTTTGTATGCAAATAGTGCATTTAAGTCGACTTCTTTTCGATTCCATTGTATTCCGGACATATTGTAATTGATGGAGATCTCATTGTTATCTTCTGAACCTGGAGATTCGGCGTCCCGAACTTCCATTGAGGGTTCATTAGATTGAGTCTCAGCCGCGGCTATGTCTGATATTGCAGGAATCCCGGTTTCGGTTATTGCACCTTTCTTTGATTTCCGGGGATTCTTATCTTTGGAACCGAGAGGTCTGCCCCGTTTGAGACGTGGTGCAGACTCTGTAGCAACTTGGGTCTGTCCCGTTGGGACAGCTATTCGTACTGGTGCATTACAAGCTGGGATGTACGATTTGGTTACTTTGGTCGGGTCAGCAAAGGAATCTGGCAATTGATTAGCTAGCTTTTGATAATGAATAATCTTTTGGATCTCTGAATCACATTCTAGAGTCCGAGGATCTTGCCAATTTAATGATGTTTGATTCCATGAAAGATCTTTGACCAGCTTGTTTGTCTCACCACCTAAAGAAGGATATACCGATTCATCGAATTGGCAATCCGCATATCTGGCCTTGAAGAGATCTCCAGTGGTTGGCTCGAGATATCTTATGATGGTGGGAGAGTCAAAACCAACATATATTCCCATCCTTCTTTGAGGTCCCATTTTGGTTCGATGTGGTGGAGCAATGGGTACATATACTGAACACCCAAATGTTTTGAGATGGGAGATGTCTGGCTCATGACCCGAGAGTAGTTGGGATGGGGAATATTTGTGTTCACTAGATGGCCGGATGCGTATGAGTTCAGCAGCATGTAATACTGCATGTCCCCATGCTGAGGCCGGGAGCTTTGATCTCATGAGTAATGGTCGGGCTATCCATTGAATGCGTTTAATGAATGATTCAGCCAATCCATTTTGAGTATGGACATGTGGTACAGGATGTTCCACGGTTACCCCCATGGCCATACAGTAGTCATTAAACGCTTGTGAGGTAAATTCACCAGCATTGTCAAGGCGGATAGTCTTTAGTGGGAAGTCAGGGAAATGGGCCCGCAATTTTATGATTTGGGCCAAGAACCTAGCGAAGGCTTGGTTCCGAGAGGACAAGAGACAAACATATGACCAACGGGTCGATGCGTCTATAAGGACCATGAAGTACCGGAATGGTCCGGAAGATGGATGTATAGGTCCACAGATATCGCCCTGGATTCTTTCTAGGAAATGAAGTGTTTGTTTAGAGATTTTAACTGGTGAAGGCCGAGTGATCAATTTGCCTTGAGAACAAGCTGTGCACATGAGGTGTTGAGGATAAGCTCGGTTTTCTTTGAGGGTATGCCCTTGAGAGTTTTGAATTAGTTTACGCATCATATTTGCACCGGGATGACCGAGCCGGTCGTGCCAAATAGTATAATCAGTAAACCGGGCTTTGAGAGTGGTATTAGCTTCAATCATACTGACTTTAGCATGGTAAAGTCCAGTAGAGAGCGCGGGTATGGTTTCGAGGATTTGTTTATGGCCGTCTACGGTTTTAGTGACTAGGAGGGATTCTTTGTTCCCTTGACCTTGGGTTTCTATGTGGAAACCATTCTGTCTTATATCCTTGAAGCTCAGAAGATTTCTCTTCGAACTAGGAGAATATAGAGCATCTGGTATTTCAAGTTGTGTGCCATTTGATAGCAACACATAGGCATGGCCATTTCCTTCGATAAGGTTTGAGGGACCCGCGATGGTGCTAATATTTGCGGTTTGATAGGTTAGGTTTATGAAGTAACTTTTGTTTCTTAAGATAGTGTGGCTGGATCCACTATCTACGACTATGGTTTCCATTTGCTGGTATGCTTTTCCATCTTTGGATTTCTGACAGGCTAATGAAACTGGGAGCTAATAGACCTCAGTTAGCCGCTACAAATTCCAAGGATTGATCACCAAAACTGGAGAAGCTGCTGGTTGAAGAAGGAAAAACTCGGATCTGGTTTTTTTTTTTTTCGGTTGATCGTCGTGTACTGTAAGTGTGCGTGAGGGCGCGTCCGACGTTGGATCGACAAACGGTTTTCACCAGTAGATTCGTCTCGTCGAGGGCTTCGATTTGATATGTAGATCGTCTTCTGGTTCCTCACGGTTTGGAAGATATGCGTCTTTTAAGTTTCGACTTGCTTTTAGGGTTTTGGTGGTGGCCGGATTTATTAGGGTTTTTCGCTCAGAGAGTCTTATCGTGCTGATAACGTGTTGTGAAAACTTAGAAACTTTATTAATCACTGGAATGTATATATAGAGTACATAGCGAATCTAGATTAAGTACAATGCCCTGATGGGCCTAATGGGCCGGTATAAGAGTCCATATATGATATGTGTTATAACACTAGATATATATTCGTGATCTAAGTCAATTTCGATTTCAAATCTCGGTCAAACTTCAAACCCGACAGAAATAAGTGAATAACTAGAGAGAAATTCAAAATTCTGTATTCGCTGAGTCAGAAGTCAAAAGCAAATACCAGGAAGAGAGAATCAAGATTCAGCTTTATTTGATTATTATAACTTCTTGCCAACTATTTAAGTTGTTTAATTTGTTTATGTAATAGAGAAATTATACGTTTGAAGCCTATAAATTCCTCAGACAGAGGATCAAAGTAAGTTACCCTTATTATTATGACTGATATAGTGAAATACAGATCATGTTTGTGTATTTTACTACTTAATCTTTATTTTTTTGGTTATTAACATTTTTGAAATGAAACTATATGATACTTAAAACAAAAAATTTAAAGTGAACCCAATATTGTTCGTTTATTTTTTAAATGCATGGTAGAATACAAATATATACTACTAAATTTGTTTTTTTTTTTTTAAAAACTCGTAAACGTATTTCTATTAACGATAATCATTAGAAGACAACATCCTTAATATATATAACTAGATTCTAACCCCGTGCATCCGCACGAGAATATTTTTTATTGTTTAACGAATTTTATAATATAATTTGTGTTTTTGAGTTTAGATATAATTATTTTTATAAATATATTTTTTAATAAGTGAAAATATTGATTTTTGTGTTTAGATATATTTTTATAGTATTAAAATTAATTATAATTATAAAAATATAATTTTAACCCATTCACTAATATTAATTCATAATGAACTATTATAAAAACATAATTCTAACTTTTCCGTTCATATTACCGTATAATATAATTATTTGTTAAAAGTTTGAGATGTATTAACAGTATTATTTAGCATTATAGTTTTCTAAAATTTAATCAACGAAGGGAGTGTACAACTGGTTTTTCAAACCACATTATAGTGTATGCAATAATTTTTAATTTTTTATGTTTTGATTTTGTATGAAAAATATATTTTCGATATACATGCATGTATAATTCAAAATTAGTGATTTTAGTTACCAAAATATTTTTAACCCGGTTTTTTATATATATTTTTAGTTCTATGAATTTTAAAAAATATATTTTTAATATTTAAATTATACATTTGAATTTTACTTATTATTTTATTATTAATTTGTAAATAAATCATAATCGTAAATATATTATATAAGCAACATAAATATCATATCATTTATATCATTATAAATATTTTATATTTCAAATATGACCATTATTTTTTATATGTGAATTTTTTTTTCAAAAATTCTAGATATTTTTGATAAAAATGTTTAATAGTATAGAAATTATTTAAATTAGAATCTTTAAATCAAATCTAAATTAATATCTGATTTATTATTTTTAATCAAATCAAATCAAATCTAAATTACCTATATTTAAGGAACTCTAAAAAAATTTAAATTAATAACTAATTTTCAAAATTAAATATAAATAATTATTAAAATTATTTTTAAACACTTTAAAAAAAATTAGGAATGTTTGGAAGCAAGTACTAAATGTGCTTCTGTTTTAATATAATAGATATATATATATATATATATATATAAAACAATGTCGAGGAATAATAGTAGAGTGTTGAATGGGATACTAATGAGAGAATAACGAAGGGGAAATTCTTCCAGAGGAAAGATTTGTGGAAAGCAGATCTAAAGGAATAAGTAGAGAGTTGAATTAGATGCTAAAATGAGAAGAAATGATAAAGAATATAATAATGAAGACCAAAACTTAGCAACCTTTCTCTTTTTCTTCTTCCCCAGTGCATTTAACCTTTCCAAAGCAGATTCTCTATGCATGCTTACATTACATAGTACATGCATACATTAATATGCATGTATGATGTAGATATATACAAAGAATCATGTAAAAAGTTCATCAAAATATTGCTACCAGATTTCAACCAAAATAAAATAAAATTATATAGATATATATATATATATATATATATATAATTATACCAGGGTTTTAAGTTGCATATCAACCTTGGTTAGCTCATTTTTGCAGCGAATCGGTAGTTTGCTTTTGGATATAATTACAAGGCAATGGTCCGCACAATAGTGACGTTAAAACTTTGTATGATGATGTATAGACTTTAGCATATGCTTGTTTTGTACATAGTGTTGTGGGTTTTCAAATTTGTTATGTTAGTTTAAACTTATTGCTCATTTTAACCCAAAAAAAAAACTTTATTTGCCCATGGTCATCACAACGGTAGAAAAAAGAGTGTATTTTCCTTATAGAAGGAAAAAAACTCCACAATGTCTCGTATGTTCATGAATTCTCTATGAACATAGTGTTGTGGGTTTTCAAATTTGTTATGTTAGTTTAACTTATTGCTCATTTTAACCAAAAAAAAAACTTTATTTGCCCATGATCATCACAACGGTAGAAAAAAGAGTGTATTTTCTTTATAGAAGGAAAAAAACTCCACAATGTCTCGTATGTTCATGAATTCTCTATGTCTATTAGCTATATGTCGGGTATTAAGCCCATTAAGCCCATATTGTCTAATGTTGTGTTAATAATGTTATAATACTTTTGTCCCACATGGGAAACTAGAGTTGTATTAAGTCTATATTATCTTGTATATAAACACAATTTTGTGCATCTAATGAAATTAAGTCAGTTCAATATCTAAATCTACATAATATCAGAGCTAAAAAATTCTGAGACGTAATATTATTTTTGTTTGATATTTAAAATTCTTGTTTTTTGAAGTTCGAAAGTTATTTTTACATACTTTGTTATTTTTAATGAGATTTAATAAAGATGGATAGTGAAAAAGATTCATCAGTATCCAAGAGTTTTGCCAGTGACGAGTGTTTAGATTCATACCATACACGTTGGATGGTTCGGACAATCTCAGTGCTTTGATATTCAAAGCCTAAAGACAGAACTCTTGGACACTAATGAATTTTTTCCACTACCCATCTTTAACAAAATACTGATGAACTCTTGGAAACTGACGTGATTTCATTAGATGCACAAACTTGAGCTTATATACATGATAATATGGATTTAATACAACATTAGTTTCTGACATGGGACAAAGGTAATATAACATTATTAACACAACATTAGATAATATGGACTTAATGGGCTTAATACCCGACATATAGCTAATAGACATAGATAATTTATGAACATACGAGACATTGTGAAGTTTTTTTCCTTTTATAAGGAAAATATACTCTTCTTTTTACGGTTGTGATGACCATGGGCAAATCAGTTTTTTTTTTCCAGGTACCAATGCGGAAAGCTAGTTAGCTCTAATGCTCGATTGTAATGTGTCGGATGAGCAATCTCTAACACATGATTTAATTTTCTAAATATCAATATTAAATTAAAATTTGTTAAGAACAAAAAAAACGAGAAATTCGTAGTAATTTTCTTTATAACTAAAGATTTTCAAAATAATGAATAAAAAAAACAAATGTGGCCTTATTAACCACATATTAAACGGGTCGGGTTGTTTCGGCCCATGAAAAAAGATCGGTTAACAAAACGGGTACCGCAGTGAAACCGGAGTCAAAGTGAATAGTGATAAACCACAAAAACCCTAATAGTGACGGTGAGAAGGCGAAGAGGAGGTGACGGGGAGAAGCAATGGTGTCACTCAAGCTCCAGAAACGGCTTGCCGCAAGCGTGATGAAATGTGGCAAGGGAAAAGTGTGGCTTGATCCCAATGAGTCTAGCGATATCTCCATGGCCAATTCCAGTAAGATTTTGACTTTTGAGTTCTCGCTCTCTCTCTCTCTATTAAGTTATGTTTTTTTTTTTTTACTTTTTGTTGAAATTAGATTGATGAATTTGTGTTACACGGATATTAGATTGGAATTAGGAGTTATTCTGATGCTAAGTGTTCATTTGATTTCTGAGTGATTCTGCATCAAGCCCCTTTTGAGCTTAAGTTTCCACTTTCCACCTCTGATCAAGCTCCCTTCACCATCTATTTGTTTACGTAGCTTCCCTTTGCTCAAGCTCTTTTAGCTGTTTTCTTTTTTTAGAGTCCCTTAGTATCTTCATGATGTGTTGAGTCTTCTAAAGCCCTCTTTTGTTCTGATTGTCTGTAACAGGGCAGAACATCAGGAAGTTGGTGAAGGATGGTTTCATTATCAGGAAACCCACCAAGATCCACTCACGCTCTCGTGCAAGGAGAATGAACGAGGCTAAGAGAAAGGGTCGTCACTCTGGTTACGGTAAGTTTGAATAGAAACGCTGTATTGTAAAGTCTCTTCATTTTGCTATGTCTACTACTCTGCTTTGGTTAACAATCAAAGAATTGTTTTTTCTTTGGTTTCAGGTAAGAGAAAGGGTACAAGGGAGGCGAGGCTGCCAACGAAGATTCTTTGGATGAGAAGAATGAGGGTGTTGAGACGCTTTCTAAGCAAGTCCCGAGAGACCAAGAAGATCGATAAACACATGTACCACGACATGTACATGAAGGTGAAAGGAAACGTTTTCAAGAACAAGCGTGTTCTTATGGAAAGCATCCACAAGCTAAAGGCCGAGAGAGCAAGAGAAAAGACACTCGCTGACCAGTTTGAGGCCAAGCGCATCAAGAACAAGGCAAGCAGGGAGAGGAAGTTTGCCAGAAGAGAGGAGCGTTTGGCTCAGGTATTAAAATCACAGAATCACCATCTTTGTGATTATTTTAGTTTTTGATTTGGGGTATTTTATTGCTCTACTATGCACTGGTTTTGGTTTTGGTTTCCTTATATATTGGATATCTCATAGGGACCTGGAGGAGAGAAAGCAGCAGTTACCGCACCAGCAACACAACAGGAAGCAGAGTAAGAAACCTGTCTCTTTAGTTTGAACAATGTGTTCTTCTTGATTCATCTTTTGGCCCCTGTCAAAGACTTGTTGAACAATGTGTTAGCATTATTCTTCATGAGCCGTTGTTGATAAAGCTTGTGAAATAGCTATCCAGTTAATGAGGTTTCTTTCTTTTCTTCAGGGTAACCAAGAAGAAGGCGAAGAAGTGAGATCTGTTGCGAAAAAAATTGGGGTTAAAATATGGAGTTTCCTTGTAGAAGAAAACTCCCAGTATTAATCTTCTGTATTTTGTTTGGATCTCAGTTTGCTTTTGCTTTTTTAATAAACCCAAAAAGTTTTGTCTTTCTGTATTTTGCACAATTTTCCTTGGTTCGCTGATCTTAGAAACTATTACCACAGGAAGTTTTACTAATTAACGATACATCTTTGAACATTAAACTTCGAGAAAGATAAAAACTTTTTTAGGCCTTTAATCAATTTTTAAAAACAAAAGAGGAGTAGAAAAAAAAGGTAATTTTTGCAAAATATTGGAGTTTTTTTTTAGAAACTTATGGATATGTTATGGAAACATTAAAAAATCTTTGTATTTATTTAGGTGTACTGACTATTCGATAGCTGCAACCTGGAACATATTTTCTGGCTTGTCTTTCAATGTTCAAACGTAGGAAAAACAAAAATAAAAATAAAGAAAAAAAATAAAGAGAACGACAACAACACATTTCTTGAGCCAGAAAAAGAAAGAAAGACATTTCTAGGTTTCAAAAGATAGAGGTGTTTTCTTCCTTTTCAATCTTCTTCATCTTCTCCAAATGGAATCAACATCCATTGATGCAAATGGTGTTGAAGAGAGAGAAGAGCTGATGGTGTTTCCCAGTGAGAGTAACAACAATCTACCTATCATCAGAAAAACCCATTTTCTGGAACACCATAATGGGTCTGAAGCTATTCGTCGTCCAGCTCCTTGTTCTGACTTAAAGGCGTCGCCTTTGTGCGTAACCTTTTGTGGTTGGAGGTTACCGAACCAAAAATTCAAGTCTTGGTTTCGAAAAATGGCTGCTTTGCACAAACCCACCTGGATAAAAGCTGGAATCTTTGAAGCAATTCAAGCATCGACTTACAAAATCAACAAAAACACATCTCTGATTCTATCTCTCGCTCGAAAATGGAGCCCTGAAACCAGAACCTTCGTCTTCCCTTGGGGTGAAGCAACGATAACCCTCGAGGATGTAACTGTGCTTCTGGGTTTTTCTGTTCTGGGTTCGTCTGTCTCTGCTCCTCTCGAAAGATCAGAGATGGACGAAGCCGTTGAGAAACTGGAGAGACGAAGAAAGGAGAGTGTGAAGCAGTTTTCATGGATTTCAAGCTTTGTAGATGATCAAATGGAGCATGAAGCTTTCCTTGTTTTTTGGCTTTCGAATTTTGTGTTTCCTGATAAGTCTGGTTGTTCGATTTCAAAAGCTGTTTTCCCTATCGCTGTTCGTCTAGCTAGAGGTGAAAGGATTTCTCTTGCGCCTGCTGTTCTTGCCAACGTCTACAGAGATTTGGGTAAAATCCATGCTTTAGCCTCTAATCAAAAAGTTAGGCTCCACTCTCTACTTAAACTAGTTCAAGTATGGACATGGGAGAGATTCAAGAGCATAAGACCACAAGCTAAACTGATACCAAGGGGTGAACCTAGAATTGCTCAATGGAGCGGTCTGAAACAGAAGCTTGAGAACGTGGGACTGTTTCTTCTTGATGATTTTGATTGTCGTCCTTATACTAAACCGTTAATGAACTGGAACCCACCTCGGTTCTACAGTGAAGAAGCTAAGAGGATAAGCATTGATGGTAACAGTCTTGATGATGATGATGATGATGAGCTTGTTTCGTTTGCTCGATGTGTGAGAGTTTCCAAGCTTGTTGGGATTGATTTTACAGAGGATTACTATCCAAATCGAGTAGGAATGCAATTCGGATTGGCTCAAGATATTCCTGTTTCAGTTACTAATCATAGGAGCAACTTCACAGAAAAGGAAGCAAGGGAGGATCACAATAGGCCTCTTGATGGTTCAAAGCAATGCATTCCTTCTCGCCTTACCAAAGCTTCCGTTACTGCTGCCAGATACCGAGACTGGTGGATGAAATCAGTTTCCAAAATCCAGAAAGAACCAGCCGAAACTTTCAATGCAAGCAATACAGTTGATCACTATGACGATAGTGATGATGATGTATCTCTTAAGGTAGTGCCACTGAGCCAAGTGTTTGAAAAGCTAGGAGATGGAAAGAAAAAAACTGAGCAGTTGAAAAACAAGAGACGCAAGTGCGCTAGCGCTGGTGAGGATGACAACGAGAGTGCTATGGATTGTTTTCATATGCAAGATGAAGAAGAAGACGATAACACCACCATTGCTCAGAGAATCAAATCTATAAAGAAGTGTGGCGATGTAAAGGGTACTGGAGGAGAAAGAAGTAGACTTGGAGTTGATTGCAATGCTTCAGACCTTCCTCAAAAGGTTGCTTCTGGAGATAATCACAACAGCTCTTCTGGAGATAATAATGGAGTAGCTGAGAAGGAAAAAGACGATAACATTACCACAGCTCAGATTATCAATTCTAAAAAGAAGTGTGGTGATGATGTAGAGAATACTGAAGGAGGAGGAGATGCTTATGGTGGACCTGAGGTGGATTCCAATGTTTCAGGCCTTGCTCAAAAGCTTGCCTATGGAGCTGAAACTGTAGCAACAACAGAAATAAAGCAAATGAGTGAAGAGAGTGATAAAAAAAACTCAGCAGATCCTTCTAATGGAGCAGCTGAGAAGGAAGAAGAAGATGATGATGAAAGATGGAAGCTGAGGAAACTTGCAATAGAGGAGCTAGCACTGAAGCTGGAAGCACGTATTTTGAAGGTGGAGAAGACGTTGGCAAAGATTAAACAATGGAAGATGAGGAAAAACCTCATCAAAACTCCAGTTTCTGCTTAGGCTATATCGTCCCTTTTGTATCCTCTTGTTATAGACAAAGCTTTTATGGGTTTAAAGAATGACTCCTAAGTCCTATGTACATTCTTCCTTGCAAAATGATAGTTTTGTATTTAAGACTAATCATAATTTAATGGACTTAAATAAACTTATCTCTTTATGTTTTACTACCCTTAACCTACTTCACATTTCTTCTTCTTCTCCGATGACTGCTCTCTCACTCTCACTCTCACTCACACTCACATCATTACCTTCCTTCTACGCGCTTCCCTCTACTACGTGCAAATCACGCGCCTCTCCACCTGGTATCACCGCCTATCTGTCTCTTTCCAGAAGACCGGAGCTTCTTCGACAAGATCGCCGGCGATCAATTGAAGCCATGTCCCGTGATATCAGCGGTTCCGATTCGCCGAAGGCGATCGAATTGGTAGATGAATCTGATTTCGAAAAGCTTCTCTCATCGGATAATCGGATCTCCATCACTGGCTTCGGTTCTCTTCTCTCCGGTGAGTACATTTTTAATCTTCTTTCTTCCTGATTTGATCATGGTGTCATTGGAAAAATTGATTACTTTTCTTCTCCAGAGAGAAGCGCGAGGAGTACTTTCCCGGATTTGGAGAATTTCAGAACCGCGAAACTTGAAGGATTCCGGCGAGTATTCGCCCACTCTGCTCCGATCTTCTTCGAGCGCGGGATCGCAAATCCTGAAACCAAGGTCCCTCTTTTCGACTTTGCTCATTCTGAAAAATGGATTTAACGAAAAGGTTCCTCGAAAAAGCATGGAAATTTTGAAGCTTTCAGTTTATGGATATTGATTTGGAGTAGACACAAAGACTCTGAGTTCTTCCTTGTCCGTATATAGTTTGTCTAAATAGGAGAAACCAATCATGAAAAGTGTAATGTAAACAGGAGATCTCAAGCTTGAGTGTAGAGCCATGTGAAGGAGAGAGTCTTGTAGTGAGTGTCTTTGAGATAAACAGAACAGAGGTACATACATAGATAACTTGAAAATTGCTTCCATTTACTTCAATCTTGTGACATTAGTATAGATATAAATACTCTCTGACGATTTCGATATACAGATTCCGGCTTTCATACAAAGGGAGCTAGAGTTCCGGTTTCTTGCTGTGAGTCACTAGCTCCTCTTTCTTAAGATATTCAGTAAAAGTTATGCCTTATTTGTTTAACTCTTCTGATTTTATTCCTCCTCAACACATTAGGTTGTTCCTGAAACAATGGAAGGCAAACCTTTCACCAATTCTGCGGTTCGTCGATTTTTCTCCTCAGCTACATTTACGTGGTAAAGTCTCTAAGTTTTTGAGGCATGAAACAGGTACTTTGTGGTCGATACAGTGATGAGGACTTTTTCCGAATTAGATGCAAAGGTTAGTCCCTTGTCAGTCTATCTAAAATGTCTCAAAAGCTCAAGCTGTTGTTATATGTTTTACCTTTGTTATCTGCAGGAAACAAAGAGACTTACTTTCACCATTACGGAAGATTCAACATTGATAAGATATGGCGGGACGACATCTTACCTTGTCGTCTCTATCTAAGACACTGGTACCGTGTCTCCTTTCTCACTCCCATAATTTCCAGACTTGTTTCAAATGAATGAGATAACAAACTAATAATTGATTCTTGCGCTATAACTTGGTTTCTTGAATTAGCTTCGAATGAATTTTGGATGGGTAAATCACAGTGCAAAGATTGCATATTTGGGTGTGCTGAAATCAAACTTCAAACTCTGGATTTTTGTTTTTGTGTTGCAGTGTATTGGCAGCTAAGAATCTGGGAGATGAAGCTTACAATAACTTTCTTGATCACACATTCTTGGGAGATAGAAGAACAACCATCAGAGAGTATTTAAGCAGCAGGGGTTCTGGAATCATGGAAGAAGAACCACCTGAGGCTCTCAAGTCCAGATATGGCGGTTGATTTAAAAAAAAAAAAGAAAAAAAAAACAATAAAGAAGATGACTACACTTCACTTTATTCTTCTATCAAACTTTTTAAATCACTGTTTTTGAAAATACAGCTATCGAGATATAAAACTGGAAATATTTTATGTGTCAACATTATTCATCCCACATCGGTAGTTTTGGGAAAGGATTGATTTCACTAGGGGCTATAAATTGGGACGAGTTTTTAAAAAATAAGTAACCCGTTTCTGTCAGAGGAAATGGATGATTCGCCAATGATCGCATAGAGACGGCGGATCGTGCCACCAAATTTGACGGACATAAATTTGAAAGGCGAGTGGGCCTGGCCTTACTTTGGTTGGGCCTGCCCGTCAATTTTTGGAAGCCTCGATATATCATCGGGGTTCTACCACAAACCAATGGAAGATGAGTTAACCGGAGCGAATCTGGACCAGACTTGTAAAATTATTGATTATCCAAAACCTATTATAAACTGTATAGTTTTGTTTAATAGAATTTTTTTTTTTGTCGTCTTTGTATTAATTTAAAGCCCAAAAGGCATTACATGTATTTTCGATTACAAACCCAATGTATTTTCGATTACAAACCCAAGAATAAATTTGGTCCAAGTAAATCAAATTATTACAAACCACAAAAAAATAAGATAAGTGATAATGCATGATGTCAAAGAAATTGAAGAGTAGTCGCTGCAAACTCGCCGGCGAAAGTAACATATCGAAATTATTCCGGTGAAACACCGATCAGCTGTTTATCGAAAACGCCATCCTCCGAAGAGCAGATCCAATCCAGATTCAAGCAGAAAAACTTCATACCACCATAGAATTTTACTGTCGATCATCAAATACACGTGACCAAACACCCAACACCTTGAAAGGCTTCATTAAAGGGTTGAAAGGAGACATAACTCCTGGTCAGATAGGATGATGCCACCATTAGAAGTAGAAGATTCTACTCTCTGTCATCGGATCTTAGCTTTGCCACTGCTTCATGAAGAAAAGATGAATGGGCAGCTCTAATAGAGGAAAGAGAAAGACAAAAACAAAGTCCGAACTTGAAAAACCTTTTGCTTGATCTTATATATGAAATATTACTCTTAGCAAGCAAAGGAAATTCAATACGAACACAAAAGATTCGGTCTTTGTCGGAAAACCAAATCCGTTAAACGGAAATTATTGATCCAATATTAATCGGAATATACATCAAAGGAGAAAAAGCATTCTCTCTCTGAAAGATGGATATGAGAGAAGAGAGAGAGGCAAAAAACTCCTTTGTATTTGTTTAATAGAGTTTAACATCCTACTCCTTCACTTAAATTTTACGTTTTTTGTGTTCAAATAAAATGAAATAATTTTTTTATATTGGTAAAAGCAAAATTGATGAATTTTCATATATTAAAATAAAATAATTGATCACAAATAAATATAATGAAATAAAAATATGAAAAAAAAAGATAGTTTCTCTCTTCGTGTTGATATGATTAGTCAATATAGTATGGTGTTTCTACTACTCTCGTTTTTCAATATATTAAATTTATTCACAGTAATTAATCCAAATAAGATTCAACATTTTTCTAACAAATCAAACAGTTGAATATTGTAAGTAATCTAATAAATCTAATATATGAACCAAAACTCTGTATTAATATCTGAAAACTAAGCATTATTTTAAACAAATGAGCAAGTCACGATTTTCAAAATGACCAACTTGGATCATTGTGTCATGTACTGACCGTTAATTGTTATACAGAAAATATCACAATCTATAAATGAATTACATTTCATCCCAAAAAAAAACTAATGTATTTGTCATATACTTTTTGAAAAATGTGAAATAATTTTGGAAAGTCGATGATTTCATATATTTTTTCACTTATAAACATTCTTAATAATCTTAGACTTACATTGGTTTGAAAGATTGAGTTTTTCATCATAATTTCCATATTGTACATTACCATGTTGATTTTAACATTCCATGAAATTGCTTTACAAGGTTGTATATCTTTTCCGTAATTTTTTTTTTCGCTTACAAATATTTGAGAGATTTTCATATTTTTATCATAATTTTTTTATCTATTTTCATCATTTAAAATAGTTTCATCATATGATATATATGAAAATTTTGATAAATCATTTGTAAAATTTGAGCAGTATCATATTGGACTAAATTTGTAGACAACTATAGATGAGGGTTTAATACAATTGTTAAAGTTGTAAATGCATCATTTATCCGAGCAAAATTAATTATAAAAGGTAAAAAGTAAAAAGTAAAAAGTAAAATTTGCAAGAAGCATGTACTCGGCGAAACTCGGGTGTCCTTGGAAATTAGTTCGGCTTAGTAAGCCCTACTCTCCGGAGTTTTCCTGTAACCGGAAATTAGTTCGGTTTAGTAGGCCCTACTCTAATGCATTTAGGTTTTGTATATATATACCAACCGTTAGTTTAGTTTGGTTTTTAAATTTTGTTGTTTGGTTTTTAAAACCAAACCTTCTCCTCATTTTTAATTTATTTCAAATTAATATTTTTCTTGTTTCCTAAGAGTTTAGCAAAATTCCAATTCCAAATTATAAAATAAACTAAATAGATACTGATCATTGAACAAAACCTATTTGTGCTAATCATATATATTAAAAGCGAAGTAAAATTTATTCAATTAAAACAGAAGCACATTTAGTGCTTGCATCCAAACACTCCCATTTTTTTTATAATATTTTATTTTTATTTTTATACTTAATTTCTGAAAATTAGTTATTAATTTAGATATTTTTAGATTTCCTAAAATCTAGATCATCTTTAATTTAAATTTCAAATTATTAGAAATTTAATTAAATTTAGTTACAAAAATTTGCATTCAATTTAATTTAAATTCAAAAAAAACAAAAACAATTATAATTAAATTTTATTACGAAAATTTAGATAATAATTTTAATACTTTAGAATTTCTTAAATACAGGAAAGATTTAATTTAAAATTTTAAATTTAAATAATATTATTATGAAATGCATAGTAAATAAATATTTTATCGTATTTTATCATAAACAATCGGTCTAAAATATCAAATATTTGAGATTAATAAATATTTATATTATATAATAATATGATCGAGCTAATTAGAATTATATATATATATATATATTTAAGATCCATGAGTTAATTTATTAAAACATGTAAGATATTAAGATGATTTGAGACAGTTAAACTAACATGTTAGCCTGTTTATATATATATATATATATATACATTTTTTTAATAGTACAAATAGTAAATAAATATCTTATTATATTTTTTCATAATCAATTGGTCCAAATATTCCATATTAATAAATATTTATAGGGTTATACAATTATAATTATAGTTTTATACGGGTTAGTTTGTCAAAACATGTAAGATATTAAAAATGATTTAAGACAACTAAACGGATGGATTAGCAAATTCATAGATATATAGATTGCTTATGTGTAAATCTAAATTCACATAATAACAAAGTTTATAATTAACATTAGATCAATGTATACTTAATTAACGTATACTCTTATTCTACTAATATACAAATTTTACTGTTTAAAATTAAAATATGAGAACAATTTTTTGATTTAAAAAAATAAATAACAAAAATAAATTTTGTCTAAACAAAAAAGATAAATGCAACTTATATTAGAAATAAAAAAAAAATAAAACATTCCCGTGCGGACGCACGAGGTTAAAATCTAGTTTTAGTTTAAAGCTCTCTCATTCATTTTGGGAGTGGCTAATTATTGTTTTGTCCTTCACTAAAAAGACTTTAATACCCTTTTAATTGGTTTAAATTAAGTTTGTAAAATAACCACATGACTGTACCAGAATGGTTGTATAATATCGATTTATTAGGTTTTATATGGACTAAAACCCGTCTTTGTTTTTATTTTCTGAAGTCTGCCCCCTTATTTGAAAAAAAAAAATTGCTCAAAACCCTACTTATCTGTAATAGACGATTAAAAAAACCCTAATTATGAATAAATCTTCGTTTTTTTTAGTAATTAGGTCATCTACAGTTCTTACAGTTTTCGAATTTCTGAGGTTTTCTTAGATTTGAAATCATATTTGTTGCTTATAGTTAGCTGTCTTCGTTGATCTTATTCGCTTCTGATTTTATTCGTTACGAAATCGACTCATTGTTTTATGTTTGGTTTCTCGCTTAATTATTGTTATTATTGTTGTTTTAGTTGGCTCGGTGAGGATGGATCAAATATATTTTATGAAGAACCAATTATAATATTTCAGGTCATGCATGGTCATGGATATAACTTATAAGTCAATGACACGTTTCAAAAAAAAGGTTAAAAAAATTGAAACCGGTGATGAATAATAGTATGGTTCTCTTTTCGTTACGTTAGTAAATCTTCATCACATTTTGTCAAAATCGGTGGTGAATTCTAACACAAGTGAGCTATGGGACTCGAAATTAGCAGGTTCGATTTATTATCATGCTTGTGTTCTGATGATGAGGTTGATGTAAAGAGAATCAATACAGAGAAGAAGACTATGGCCGATGATGGACCGGGGTAGATTAGTGTTTCGTGCATGAAGATAGAGAAAAGTCGATATCCAATGAGAAGGAAGATGATGATGCTAATGAAAGACTCAAACAGAAAAAGCTTGCAATAAATGAGTTAGCGCTGTCGGTATCATGTACTATGCAAGTGGAGAAGAGTTTGGCCAAAAGAAAGCAAAAAAAAAAACAGAGTTTGTGTCTTTGGAAGGAGAAGTATACTTGAGGAGAACATTAATAAAGACCCATGGATTTGTTAAAAGCTTGCTTCTTAAGATGAAACTATATAAAAAAATGGAGAAACGGAGTGAAGAAAATGATAAGCAGAGAAAATTGTGGTTGTGATCCCATCCAATGAAAATAACTCTTCACGTCCCCCTCTTGATGCTAATGAGTATGTTTTATTACTGTCTCAGTACAAAGGGCAAGAAAAACCTGTTGTAAGGTTCATGTAAATGGATTTAATACAGAAAATAATGGTTCGTAGTTGAACCAAAGAAGCATAGTGTTTGGTCCATGAAGATGGAGAAGAAAAGAGCTCCAATGTGAACTTTTTAAAAGGAAGAAGATATTCATGAAAGATAGAAACAGACAGTTTGCAATAAT